TTTCTGTCTTGTAGCTTAAGATATAAATTCGAAGTTTTCTTGACTCCCCTAAGGAGGGGTATGCAAGATCGCTTGAAACAGTACCCATTGATCCGTCTCGTGTTAAAAAGACGGTGGAGGAGACTTCGACAGTGGATCGAGATGTCGATACTCCAAGTAACGCGGGCTGCATGTGCATACAGTACTAACCTAGATGAATGGCTGCGTCGAGGTTCCAAGAAGCTCTCTTGTTCGTCACTAGCGAGAGAGTGATGTATCATGCAGCCTGCTACAAGTTACTGACTCAAACTGGCAATCTCTGAATACAAGTGAGTGACAAGGGCAGAGTTTAAAAGAGTCAAATCATCCATCGCAATTGCAGCCCGTGCTTCCGTACCGAGGTTGCATGAAGTCCACCACATGAATTGACCAATCGATTCTAAGGAAATCATCATCAGCTCTCAGAAGATGCTGGTTCTGAAGCAGCCAACGGCAGAACAGGCTCCATAGCGGGGGATAAGTCAATCAATGAGCGACCTGACAAGGGCCTTTGGGTTCCATCCATTCCTCCCAAGGAGTCTAAGTCAACAGCTTGCTTGACTTGCAGAAGCGTACACATAGTGCGCATCTATCTATAAAATCACACGAGAATGACATCTTAAACGCATAAAATTTGGGTGGCCGTGCCAGTTTGATTTTCTGACTTTTCGCTTCCCACCAAACTTAACCAATGCGAAAAACTAGGGTTTTACGGGAGCGAGCCGCCACTGTCCCGCATGTGGATGTAACTGGCACTGGAATAGGGGTAAACTCGGGTAAGGTATTGAACCAAGAGAGATCCTCGCCTCAGATTAGGTAGGGTGCTAGCTATGTACTAGTCAAGCTAAAAGCTTAAGAAACCTTGGCTGTCAATAAGAAGAACAAGATAAGTCAAGAGAGGGGCAAGACTGAATAAATTATACCTAAGGGGACGCGAGAACGGTACCTTCTCATTGGTTTATTCTCCGTCTCAACGAAATGGAAAGCTTTGAGCAACGGTGGCTGGCTGGACCCCTGGAGCTAGGGCCATCTAGAATCTCGAAATTTCCTTGGAATGAGGCCTGGACAGGACAGACAGTGGTATAATTAATACAATTTGTTTGTTTCTGCTGGTGGAGGGTGGCATCCATCCACCTTATTCTTATTCGGAATGGAATTGCTTGTATGGATATGGATGCTCTGGCTGATGCAGGGATGAGAAGAGGAACAAGCGCCGGCTGCAGTGAATGAATGATGTGCTGAAATATTGTTGATCAAAAGGAGAACCAAGATGATCGATTCATGGAGGATCTGTTCTCTTGTCGCTGCGAGGCAATAATACGACACTTCTCATAACTCTACTGGTCTCTCGTCTACCTAATTGAGGCAATTGAAACTCTATTTAGTCCTATGCTCCCCTATAATATGTTTTATGTTTTATATTTGTATTTGAATCTTGTAGTTTTTGAACAGCAACACCTCCTCTATCAAACAATCTCAGATCAGATCCAGTGCCAATGCAGTCCAGCTGCATCTCTTGCTCACCGCTTTCATGAGGTGGGGCACTGAGGTTCTCCCTCCCTCAACAGCTCTGCAGCTGGTGGAGAGAAAGGTACCTAGGTACGTACAGTGAAGGTGGACACCCTGGCACTGGCACTGAGGTGGAGCTGGAACTGGCCTACCTAGGTACCTACTCCCTGTAAATGCCTACCCCCGCTACCATGGATGGTAGTGCATTGCGCTACCTACTACCTAGACTACCCCCTACGAGCCTCTCCTCTCCTCTTAGCCCGGGGCAATTCTCAAGTTAATTCTCGGGGGTTCAAAATTCATCGGGATCCCATTCTCTGAAGTTCCTTTGGCTGCCCGATCCTGGAACTTTTCTTTTCCTCCTCCCTTTCTCCTCTCCTCCAACTCCTACTCATTCTCCTCCTCAATATTCGTTACCTTGAGGCATTGCATTGCATTGCATTCGCTGTTCATTGCATTCAGTTTTGCTTGTTGAGAACGAAGGCCTTTGGTAAACTCCAACGGCTTTTACTCGACATCTGATTAGCTGCGCGCAACCTCGAAAAGCGACAAGCGACAGGGGAATCTTTGCTTAACTTTTTTTTTCTTTGATTTGATTTGATTTGGATCTCGATTGAACCTTGCATCGCTATATCGTTCAACCGAAAGTTTCCTCTCCACGTTACGAGAAGGAATTCAGAGCTCAGGTCCATTATCTGATCTGATCTGATCTGGTCTCTACCAACGCAAATCAACTCAACTCAGCTCAATTCCTTGATTGAAGAGTCTCTTGCTCTCACCCAAATTTCCAACTTTTTGTGGCCTCCGACTCCGACCCGCGGACCCCTCCCTCCCTCCTTCCACCCACAGCAGCAGCAGCCAGCCACAGCTCAACGCCTCCCTACCAAGGACCTGGTCTAAAGATAAGACAAAGGACACAGCATCCTCTTACACGAGACGAAGCGAAAACTGCACGAGAATACATCTTTTTTGCCCCGGGCGCTCAACAATGAGCGATCACCCAGTCATGCAGGTCGAGGACAAGATCGTCCCTGGACCTTCTGTCGCCAGCAACGAGACAGCTGTAGAGGAGACAGTGATTAGACAAGATGTGACTGTCATTACAACAACAGACGAGGCTACAGGCCCCAATTCAGCCTTGAGCAGCACCACCAATCCCACTTCACCAACCACTGCTGCCCCGCGACCACGACTGAAGAAGGACAACAGCACGCCCAACATGAACGGGCCACTCTACATGCAGACTGCCGGGAACAAGACAGTGCTCGTCCGCCGACTTAAGCGCAAGGAGGAGAGCACCTGGAAGCATCTCTCGCGCTGGTTTGTCGAGAACCAAATCGGTACGTTACTCTCCAGCCTCCTCTTTTTCCTGCCGCCGATCATGGATTGCGAGCGAACGGGCGACGTACATGTCGTTGTCGTGGGGGTGTCAACTGCCAAGGGTGTCAAGTCAAAATCCAGACTTGTCCCTGGTTAATGACACTTTGGGAATAGGAGGGTGTCGCACCTCAGCAGCACCCCGCCCGCGTGGCACGGCATCCCTACAGTACCATCCCAGGCCTCTAAGGGTCCTTTCCTGCTACGCTACGCTACCTAAACGCCTCGCTCCCATGACTTGACAGGTTGATCGCCTGCTGGTGTGCGTCCGTGTGTGTGTGCACTGATTTGGCCATATTATCTGGTTCTGCCGAACTCAAGCTGACAGCTGGTTTCTATTTTAGGCCTCTCTTTCAACCTCCTCGCGCTCATCTTCCTCGCCCAGACTTTTATCCCCAAAGCTCGAGAACACACCCACAAATTCTTCCACCTCAGCTACTACAGCTCCCAATCCGGCCAGTATCGTATCGGTTACGATGATGCCTATTTCATCACCTTCTGCGTTATTCTCTTCACCGGTCTTCGCGCCGCCACCATGGAATACGTTCTTGCACCCATTGGCCGACTCCAAGGCATCAGCAACCGCAAAAACCTGACCCGATTCAGCGAGCAAGCTTGGCTTATGGTGTACTATACTGTTTTCTGGCCCTGGGGCGTGGTAAGTTTGATATTGCTCAAAGACATGAGAAGCATGTGCTGACGTCTTATAGTACATTTATTGTACCTCCCCCCACTACATGAGTATGGAGAATCTCTGGACCGACTGGCCCAACCGCGAGCTCGACGGCCTGATGAAGGCCTATCTCCTCTGCCAGTGGGCTTTCTGGCTGCAGCAGATGATTGTTATTAACATTGAGGAGCGCCGTAAGGACCATTGGCAGATGTTTACCCATCACATTGTCACCACCGCTCTTATCTTCGCCTGCTACACTTACCACCACACCCGTGTCGGTAACTTCATCCTGGTTATCATGGACGTTGTTGATCTATTCCTCCCCGTAAGCTTCCTTGCATTACTTGTCAGTCTACCTGCTAACTCAGTGCAGCTCGCCAAGTGCCTCAAGTATTGCGGCTTCAAGAAAGTCTGCGATGTCATGTTCGGCCTCTTTGTTGTTTCGTGGTTCATTGCTCGCCATGTCCTATACATTGCGGTCTGCTGGTCCATCTACTCAGACACTCCCCGAATCATGCCCACTGGTTGCTTCAAGGGGAACAACGAGAATATGGTTGGTCCCATCGACCCTCCAGCCGGCTGGAAATATCTGGTCGACCCTTTCATCAACCCTGAAGGCCTTGTTTGTTATAATGAGACCATCAAGTGGAGTTTCCTTGCTCCCCTCCTCTTCCTCCAAGTCATCACCATCGGCTGGTTTACCATGATCGTTCGCGTCATCATCAAAGTCCTGAAGGGAGGCGATGCTGAAGATGTCCGAAGTGATGATGAGGGTGGCGAAGAGGAGGAGGAAGAGGAGTTTGTGTACGAAGAGGCACAACCCCTGGAGGAGGAGGTTGGCGTCGAAGAGCTCGACCTCCGAAACTGGGAGCGACGATCAGGTGTTAAGAAACAAGCCAGCAGCTCAGGAGTCAGCCTCCCTGGCCACAGTGATCGAAAGGAGTTGTTAGGTCGTATTGGCTGCGAGAAGCAGGTCGACTAGACGAAGCTATGTGTTGGGAGTTAGTTTAACGGCATTTTTCTCGCTCCACATCCGAGTGATGCTCGCATTTTTGAAACCTTTTCTGCTTTTATTTTATGTTTGGGCTTGCATTTATGGGAGGAAGACATCTCACCCGCTGTCTTGATCACAACGACTGGTAGATGGGAGCTAACGAAAAACAACCGAGGCCAGGAACCTCGTTGGGTCTGCATTGGAGAGCTCCGCTGAAGAATAGACGGCCGCCATTAGAGACGACGATTGCTTCTTTGCAATGAAGATGAAAAAAAGTGCTTTTTTTGACGATTTCTAAAGACTTTGGATGGGAACATTTGATCATCTGTCTGCTTGGCATTGCAAAAGAAGAAAGATAGCCCATTTGCGAATGATACCTCGATTATATAACGCTGTCAATGCAATGAATTGCTTTAACTGAACCTTTCATCACTGCGCCGCCTTGTTGTCCTCGTCTCCTAGTATTTCCTTCGCATAGTCCTTTAGCTTGTACTTCTGCACCTTTCCACTTGGTGTCTTGGGATACTCATCGATCCAGAACACATACTTGGGCACGAGATGCTTGGACAGCTTTGTTGCAACCCATTGCCTTAACCCATCTCTTGACAAAGTCCCTGGCTCTTCAGCGATTGCTTTATCAATAGGCGCCTCCTCTGTGTCTTTCATATGATCTAGAGGCGTCCATCCTCGCGCAGGGATAACGAATGCAGCGACTGCCTCGCCATATCGCTCGTCAGGAACTCCCACGACACTGGCTTCCCGTACACCTTCATGCGTCAGAAGGCAGTCTTCCACTTCTAACGGGTGAATATTCTCTCCGCCACGGATGATGAGGTCCTTGATTCGGCCAGTAATCTGCACATAGCCTTGTTCATCCATCTCAGCCTCGTCACCAGAGTACATCCATATTGTTCCGTCTTCTGGATCTGGTTTACGGACCTCGGCTGTTCGAGCCTTATCCCCATGGTAGCCCTCCATAACGAGATAGCCTGCTGCAGCAAGTTCGCCTCGTTCTCCAATAGGGAGGATCTTGCTGTGATCGAGGGGATCGACAATCTTGACGCCCGTGTGAGGCATGACGCGGCCTATGGATGAGGTTCGTTTTTCGAAAGGATCCGAGGGGCTGGTCATGCAGCTCACGGGAGCTGTCTCGGTCTGACCATAGCAGATAACTAGATCCTGGAGACCAAGACGCTCGTATAATGTGTTCATGAGAGAGGGAGGGACGCTACTGCCAGCAGCAATGCCCTTGCGTAGGTGACGAGGTGGTTGCGAGACGACATTGCCTCGATCCAGAGCCTCAAGAACAGCAACGAACATGGTGTTCACACCATAAAGACCCGTAGCTTCATGGTCGACACACATGCGAAGAGTGGCCTCAGGGTCAAACGCAGGGCTGGGGAAAAGAATACCAGCGCCTGTCGTAGCCGTAGCCATGTATCCCAACACACAACCGAAGCAGTGAAACAGCGGTGGAGGGACCACGATACGATCATCGGCATGAAGACCCATTCGATGCGCTATCAAGGCACCGTTGTTGAGAATTGCGCGATGTGAAAGCATGGCTGCTTTGGGAAGCGAGGTCGTGCCCGATGTGAATTGGATGTTGATGACATCGCTAGGTTTCAGAGGAGAGTCTGGCTTTACTGTGTGAACTGAGCCGTCGATTAGAGATTGGTAGGGAGTGAAGGCCCGGCATGATTTGAGGTCGAATTTGATATCTGGATGGCTCGCCAGGTTGTCTAGCACCACAACGTTACGCAAAGAGGGGACCGTCTCGCTCTGGATCTGGGACGCGGATACATCTCCCACAATGCTCTGGAGCAAGTGTTGGTTACTTCGGCCCCTTCCTGGCTTATAAGCCAGATCCGTCACAGCACCGATAATGAGCGTTTCCACAGATAGATGTTTCAGTGCTGCGGCTACTTGTTGCTCATTGAAGCCTGGGTTCAGCGGCACGAGGATAGCACCAAGTTTGAAGCAGGCGTATGTTAAAGCTGCGAACTCAGGGCCATTACCGAGAGATACGGCCACGCAGTCTCCCTTTCGCACGCCGAGTGAGGAGAGAGAATGTGCGAGGCTGTTTGATAATGAGTCCAGGGCGTAGTATGTTAGTGTCGACTCATGGGAATTAGGTCCTGGAGAACGAGCGATGACAGCCTCGCGATCTCCGTGGGCTGAAACAACTGAGGCAAAATGTTCTGGGATTGTGCCATTATAAAGAGGAGGCTATGATATGTTAGCGATACTCTCTGGGTGCATGGGGTATTGATGAGGCCGTACCTCCTTGGGGCCCCATCGAATGCTCAGATTGGATGTAGCAAGTGTTCTCACTTGACATGTTCTGAGGATTGTTCTTGAGGATAGATGTGTTCTTTTTAAGCTCTGACGTATTATGGTCTGCATTGTGGAAGCTGTGATAACTCGCCTGCTGTGGATGTGGAGTTTAGAAGAAGATCTTTGTAGAACGGGGAGAGGCGGACTCTCGGTTTAATGTACAATTGCAATTGCGAGGCGAGGCGAGGGACATGCACACATACACCGGCTCTGAGCTTGACTTATTGTGAGAGCTTCAGTCTTGGAAACTACCTACCCAAGTATGGATAAGGATATACCTTGAGGCGTATGATCCTCGGCTATCATCGCCAGGACCTCCCTCCTTCCACTTCCACTTCCACCGTCCTTGATCCTCTCCTGTTCTTGCTCCTTCCAGTTCCGTCAGCTCTCCACAATCTATTCACTAACTACCAACGGCAGCGGGAGTGGGAGTCCGAACCCCTCAGCGGCTCAACAGAATGAACCAATCATGTGCCGTCTTTTCGACTAAAACCTGGGGAAATGCGGGGGCGGTTATTCACTGTAGCAGCCCATTCATTTCAGCATCGAGACCGCGGAAACAACGGCTATATTTGAGCCGTGAACCCAATTGACTCCGAATAGGTAGCTATTAGCGGTTTCCTGTTGGTTCGCAGCAGTAGCGTAGTACTGAAATACCCGGTCCGAGTCCCCCTGTGAATTGTAGAGTCAGCACCTTCAATCACATGCCACAGCTACAAATGTAATGTTTTGAACAAATCTGGTTCTTGTGCGAGATTTCGTGGTATATGCTTGTTCGCTTCATCCTTCAATCGACAATCCTGAGAAACTCCCTTCTCCTTCAATACCCACGAGACATGTGGTTGCCTACAGGTGGGCGACGATGCGGTAAAAACAAGATCAAGAAACAAATCTATCCCAAAGCGCAACAAATGACTTTCCTAGCGATATCTTTCATACACAAAATAGAGTCTAGTACCGTTCCCCTCAAACCTTTTATATTTCTTCCATCGCAATGCAACTGCCAGGGTTTGATAGGCCCCTGGCTCGAACAACAGCTAATGCGGAAACCAGCCCAGAAACGGACACGAGTGTGTCATTAGAAAAGAGTAAAGAGTAGCAGCTGAAATGTACAGGTTCGAGAAGTAAATCTTCATAGTCGTTGCTAAACATTAGGTATCGTGGTTGTGGTTGTGGTTCTGCTTCGAATTATAATGTTATTGCAAGGGCGCTTGGGGTGCTTGGGGTGCCTGAGCCGCTTGAGGTTGTCCTTCTTGCTGTTGCTCGCCCATGTGGCGCTCACTCTCAGGTTTCCATGTTCCTATCTACAGTTAGCAAATGTTGGTCTGTCATGAGCAGTAGATTCCTTACCTTCGAAGTCGTGCTTGACGAAAGCCATTGGGTCGTCAGGCTCCTTTGCGCCCATCTGTCCCACTCCAGGTGAGAAGCTTGTGATAGGCAACACAACCACATCCCCCACTCGCTTACTCGTCTCCATACCAGTAAAGTTCTTGTAATCGATCGTGCCCTTGCTTTGTGACATGTCAAAGAACCTTGGATCATTGAAGTACTCCATGATAGCATCTGTCCATACAGCAGGGCCAGTGAACTCAACAACGTTTCTGTCAATGAATTTTTCCAGCTTGCCTTGATTCTTCAATTCTAATGTCTTCTTGGTAATGCGTGTGATAATATCGCGGAGAACAGGGTGACCAGGCTTGGCCTGTATCGTCCACTGACAGAACTGGATACGGCGACTGTACCACTGAGCCCAGTCGGGGCGATCAGGGTCCGCCTCAATGCCAATAACGAGACCAATAGTATCGCGAGGGATCTGTTCAGGCAACCATTTCACCGAGCTTTGGATTGCATATGTATCGATGTCAGAGTAGATGCCGCCTCGCGCGAAGAGAATCAGATAACGGAAGAAGTCGGCCTTCAGAACAGGCATGGGGAGGCTTCGGTACGCCTCAACGACTTCGGGAACCGTGGCGTAGAGTAAGCGAATAAGGTTAACGGCAACGTCGTCGGTGATGACTTCGTGGACAAAACCAGGGTGCTCCTCTTTCCAAGACGCATGGTGGTCTTTAAACTGGAAATCACCTTGATCAGGACTTTGCTTCCACGTTTGCCAGATGTAAGCTGGAAACTTGGTCGCAACATCATAAGGATAGGCGTATTCGAGCTTCTCAAAAATTGACATGCCCGACATGTCAATGCGAGGCCGCGTGCGACGCTCCTTTACCTCCATCTCCTTTTGTTCCTCGGGTGGTGGTGACACGGCTTGGTTCGAGGCAGGGGCAGCGTTCTTGCTTGTGTCGACGGCGGTAGCAGCAGCATCTTTAGCAGCTGGGACGACAGGCGTTGTTGTGTGAGACCTTGTCAACAGGAAGAAAACAGTGAGGATGAAAACCGCTGCCACGATGGCGCGGCGAGAGTTGAGCATGGCGACGGCGGCTGCAAGGCGACTGTGGTATCGAAACGCCAGGTATGTACGAAGTCGCAGTTTTTTTGGAAATTCGTCGATAAGGAGCGATGCCAAGAATAAGGGACAGGGGTAGGAAGCGAAGGTCGAGAAACGAAAGGACTGTGCTGTAATAGCATAGAAAAGCGAGCGTGGCCAGGCAGAAGCCAATATAAACAAGGGAACAAACACAAGCAAGCAGGTGAATGCGACAGAAGAAGAAGAAGAAGTTTGGAAAAATATGTGTCGGCCAAATAACTTTATCGTAGTGGACAACAGTCAAATTGAGGCGAGCGAGGGATGAATTCCCAAAGCCAGGGGCCCGCAGTTGGAGACGGTGGAGCTGACACCTGCTAACTAAGGTATCGCAGCGGATAAGTCAAGGAACTGGATGGACCCTGGACAAATTGAGGTCGCGGCGCAATCCAATTATTTCGGTATGCTACAGTAGCTGCGCAGTAAGCTCACCAACGGCGCGGTCGCGAAGCGGAGCAGCTGATATGCTGGCAGGAGGTTCGGCCAATAAGGAGAGAGGTGAAGATGAATTGCAAGTGGAAGAGGAACCGTCCTTTATCTGGTCAAGGATTGGTATCAGGAAGTTTAGGCTCGATGCGGTAGTTATTAAGGAGAATGGGAATAAAAAAGGTACAAAATGGGGGTTGTTTGATGAGGGTTTTGAAGAGAGGATGATATTGCAAAGATGTAAGGGAAAGTCTGAGCCTCCACTCGTCGTCAATTACGTGGAACGTGGAGAGATCCTTACTAGATAAGTACCTTTGCAACGGAAGAAGGCACGGAGTACGCGGCCATCTTTTCCTCACGTTTTCGGGTTTCCCACATGGGATCTAGGAGCTAAGATGGGACGAGGAAGGTGATGATGACAGCAAGCACAGCCAGGCCAGCGCAAGCCCAGAGGTTACTATTGATGGAAGTGACATGGACGGCCCGCTTTCGTGCGCCTGAACAACAAGTCTCGTTGAGGACAAGATACCCCTGAAACTTGATGATACTATGATCAGTAACTTGCCATGGTGGATGAAGCTGGATGTAAGGAGTAACCGTCTGGAAGAAGCCGCTTCCTACAATGTGAGAGCACACTGTAACATGCGCAGCCACAGGGGGGTTATTATGCAGTAACTACTAACTAAGCGAGTAAGATTCTAGACGCCTCTTGGCCAATTGGATACGATTTGATTAACTAGAAAAAAGAATACATACCTTACATATTGCTAGCAACGAGGCTATCATCGCCAAGACATTGTGAGATAAACAAATCCAACTTCAACAGAGTTCATCCTTGTCCATTGAGTTAAACAAGCTTGTCCCAATCACAATTTTGGCAGACACAGCAATGCGCCCGCCAACCAATTTGATCCAATTAAGATCTACCCTCATCTCGATTCAGGTATGTTACCTGGACGGTTCACTGATGGCACAAGGTGCAACTATGGTGCAATAACTTGGCTTGCCAGAGCGAGCTAGACTGCCCAGACAGAAAATCAAACCCGTCAGGAGTTGCGGCTTGCCGTTGCCGGGCTGGTGCACATATCCTGGATCGCAATTCGTCTCACCAAGTGACGCATACTGTTGATCGCGAAATACAGTGCCACTTTCGAATAAGGTTGCAGAACAAGCCTTTTCTAGCGTTACGTTGGAGATTTCGAAACAGGCGAGGGCAGGGGTTGTCCGCGGAGCATCTCTGTTACAGCCTCTCAGTCGCTGCGTCGAATCCTGTTACAATGGAACCTGCTTGCGTGTCGGCGATCAAAGGACCACGATCATCGTGAAAAGAGCGGAGACTTGCTGTTAAGGGGTCCAGATTAAAGGCCCCCCTGAGGGACGGAAAAATCAGCGCTTCTTCGTCATGAGCGAACCAGGAAATATTTGGCTTTCGACATGGGTATACAACGTGATTTGGCGACCGTTCCTGAATCTTGTGTAGCGGGAAAATCTGTGTGCACTTCGCGAAGCAGTTTGCGTTTCGCATAGGTGAGCAAACATCTGACTGAGTTCTCATCTCGGTCTCAAGTGCCGAGCTCCTCTGTTTCATTCCTGGCGGGAGACTCGGCACATGGCAGCAAAGGTAGTATTGTTTGTTCCAGAACATTGAAGAGGCATGCTCTAGATAGTCTGTGTGATGAAAGATCAGGAGCATTTAGTCTAGGATTAGGAGGCTCTGAGATTAACACTTTTTATCATTTGGCAAAGGGTCAGAGTTTTATTGTTTCCCCTTCACAGTACCTCGGCCTTTGTTTGTGGTCTACTCCGTATCACTTGATAGATGAGGTTGAGTGAGATACGAACTGGAATGATACCAGGAAAGCCAAGCTTGACTTGATTACTTCACGCCGACAAGCCGCAGCCAAGCTCGGATTACATTTTCCCAGCAAGACATTACATTATTGGAGCCGTTGATTATGACACCGTTCGAGGTTGTTGGTCAACATGGCTTTTCCAACATTGTTAAGCAGTTCTTCTACCTTGTAATCTGTGAAAAAGACCTTTACAGACTGTATTCGGCCAGCTCGGACTTGCTGTAAATTATAATTACATATCCATAGTGTTCATAGATTCTATAGAATCCATAGCGTCAGTCTCAAATCCATCTGCAGCTCAATTCAAGCCCCGATGCTTGCTGACGAAGCACTAAATCCGTGATGCTTGTTCAGCAACTCCTTGAGTATCGTAGATGCGCGCAGAAACAATTCCGGATTTCCAACAATTCGTTGATCAGCTTTTTAAGCCAAAGCCGAGTCTAAGCCCGGGATTAAGTCATTGTTAACGGCGAACTCTTTTATGAATCCGAAAATTCCGTTACAGACTTGCCGAGGGAGCTAGGGAGGAAAGAAACAGGACCTTCATCCTAAATGACAAAAAGACTTGGGTAACTTAGTTTAAGTTTAGGATATCTTTAGGATACCTCTTGTTGAGTTTATTCTAACACCCTTTATTAAGGTCCGGTGTTTTCTTGCTCCTCGAGGAAGACTTACCTAGGCTCGGAACCGAAATCGTCGGGTGTTCTTGACAAGCCATGTCTACGCCTATTACAGGACATGTCATAGGGCGCGCGCGGTAAGAAAAAAACCGCACGCCCTAGGTAGTTAGCTGTCTTAGTGCTCTCCGGCCCGTATGCACCGTTCTTGTTAAATCCGTAGACTACGTTTAACAGACCTGTGAATTGGTACGAACTCTGGTTTCTGGTGGTTTCGGAATTCAAGATCTTACTAGGTCAACATGATCTTCACCAACCTATCATGTTGCATCCCGCCGTCCCTTTCCGTCTGCAGCTCGACGTAGGTTAGCCCTCCACGTTTGAATTGGATGTCACTCTCGATGGAGGGCAAGGTTTTTCTTGGCACAGAGTAATCATGATGACCCTAGCTATGAGAGGTCGAAAGCAAGCTCCCCCGCCCCCATTCTCGAAGAGCATGTTGTGCGACATGAAGCTCAAGAAGCTCTGATCTGCATAATGTGTAGGTTGACAACGTGCAGATGTGCGTTATCGAGTGCTACATACTATGCGTAATAATAAACTGGTGGGTGGGTGGGTGGACGATAGTACACTAACAGCATGATATTCATAACGACGAAACAAAATAAACAAACAGAACGATACTGTCGGAATCGGCTGCAAGACCAATCCTCCTCATGATGACGGATCCTACAGCCCTAGCAGCCGCATCATGATCTTATTCCTTTTTGGGTAATAATCGTGGACTTGGCGACCCTTCAATTTGTCAGCCCAGCATCTCCAAAGTCCGGATTTTGACACAACGGGCTTTGCTCTTTGGCCGGCAGCCGCCACAACGAAGGGGATTCAGATTTAGATAGACAATGGATATTGGCAATGGCTTCCAAGAAAAGACCAATCTTGGCTTACTCTCCCAAGTGTCCACGGATCAGAGTTTAATTGATTAATTATCGTCGTTCGCTTGCCACACCCCGGCCTCTCGGTGGTTGTAAACTGACCGAGGATGCCGAAATGCCCGCTTTTCGGCGGACTTAAGACCAGCAGCGTATAATCAATAGGGCTCTTCGGCTCGGGTAGATACTGTTTGTAAGGCATTCGACCGCTGTGAGTGGAATAGGGAAATGCCTCCAAAGCCAGATTAACTCTCCATGTCAAGATCTGGGGTCACGTATAGCTGCATGTAGTGATACCTGTACCTCGAGGAATAGTTAGTACACTAACTGCAAAACGAAAGCTTTCCGTCTTGTCGGGTCTGATCCTTAACATGATCTCGATTAACCCACATTTTTTTGTCTCGTCCGGGGCGCGCCCTCTAAAGCCGCGGATATAGTCTCCTGTACGGGTACGAATTGCTCTGTAATTGGACCCTGAGGTGGGCAGGTCAGCCACACCTGTACAGTAGGAGTTCTGCTTTAGTAGTGAGTTGGAACTTTGGCCTTATCCGCAAGCTCCAGTACAACCGCAGGACTTGAGGCCTAAACCCGTCCATGGAAACTGGAGATTTGCAAGCATGACAAAACAGGCCAGAGCCACGCCCTTGCTGGACTTGGCTGTGCTGTACAAGTTTGTAGCTGAAATGTAGCGTACCTTGGGTCTGTGGTTACATACAGGACGCCCTACACACCCCCCCTAGCTTGAATACAGCACTCACACACTTTTACGGCATGCCATGGGTTGGGTAATAATAATGGATGGATCTCGTTATCCGTGGTGTTGATCTCCATGTTAAATACCTTGGCTGATCCTATCCTGCCTCGCCCCGGCCTTCTTGTGTGTTTGCAGTTCATCATTTCATCTCTAGTATTGACTTTGTAATATTTCACGAACACAATCTGACCAACAAATAAAGCTCGACCACTTCGGAGTTCGGGGATTGCGACACTTGCATCCACATACCGCTTACACAAGCCAGACGAAGCCGACGGAATCATATATAGTTGCCGCTCCCGCCATAAGTGCGCCTCCATATCCGCGAGCAATAACGTTATATACACCAACTCAAATTGTCCTGTCAATTTCACAAGCCTTCAATCCTTTTCAATTGCTCGACGGTGGTACTCAGATGATATCATAAGGTCTCCAGCACACCCGAATTCTCATATTGCGACATTAGACAGCCATAAGGCGTCTCATTCAATACTCGCTTCATCTTCAACATCTACACCAAAAAACAGCTAAATCATGGCGACCGAAACCGATACTCTCTCATTCTCGTTACCTACCAGTACTGCTCCCACCGATGTTTCTGAATCCACATGCATGCCTCACTCGACTCCCTTTTACCAGGCTTCAGAATGCCTGCAACAGAACAAACCGGCCGAGTGGGACACGAGAATCCATCCGACCGCACAATCACAAGATTCTGTATCAGGAGGTGGATGTTTCAACGACGGAGGTCTCTTATATAGAGTTCAGGCTGAGCGCGAATGTCGAGAGGGACCTGGCAAGTAAGTTGGAAGGATCATCTCAGATTACCGAATTGGACCGGACGTCGAATTGCTGACTATACTTTGGTGCTTCTTAGAACCGTTGAAGAGGCCTGCCAACGCTCTCTGAACCACTTCCCATGCCCTGGACTCGCCTTTCCGATGCCGGCCCTCGATTTTGACTTTCGAATCGCTGTTCGTTTAAACCAAGAGGCTGTCCATGTTGACTCGGGCAACACTAAGGAGATTACCACTGTAGCTGCTGGTGTTTGGTCCGGATCTTTTGGCCATGGCCGCGTCATTGTGCGTTTTCCCTTTCTTTCACACGCCCCCCCAAACCCTTTCTAGAATTCTACGCTTTTATCCGATTCGTGGCTGACTGAGGAGGATTTTATGTGTGGTGTATAGGCAGGCGGATATGATCTCGGCCAGGCACGCGGTTTTAGACCCATGAGGCTTGTTGAGGGCGTCTTTGTCGTCCAGACAAGTGATGAACAGCCTGCGCTGTAAGTTTTGGGAGTTCTTATAAGTCACTGGACTTGGATTTAACTCATTGGCCAGTCTTGAAATGCGCACTCGCGGTTCCCTCTCGGGACCTGCAGATGTTCTCGATACTCTATTAAGCCCTCGGGCCCCCAAGGACATTGACCCACGACGCTATGGATTCCGCATGTTCGCGACGTTCAAGACATCCGACAAGCGTTACGCCGAAATCGTCAACTGTGGATTATGGGTGGCCAGTGGTGCCTGGCGTGGCGAGCACTTGGTTATCGAGTAAGTCCCTCTCTTGAGTCATAGTCCCCATTTTACAAGGGCGTGCCTAATCACAAGACGCAGTGCCTACCGTGTTACATAAAAAATCACAAATCACCAGCAAGCGAGAGATCCGAATGACTTGACTTGACAGAAACGACATATTTAGCATTGCATAAGGGATCCTGACTGGATAGCGGATCCCTCGGCGCACCACAGGAGTTGGTCTTTAACAGCCGAGTCAATTTTTGACCCGGTTCGCAAATAGGAGGAAATGGACGGATGATGACGATGCATTGAGCGGCGTAGACATTGGACCTTGAGACTTTCCCATCTCTTCCTTAATCCTTATTTGTTTGGGTAGTGGTGAACTGAATGACCTACCTATCCAGAACCAAATAACGTTATTTAACGACAAGCTGACATCCCATCTCAATTTTGGTGCATGTAATTCCACCCTGGTACCCACGTCGGTCTCTTGCTCGGACCATGATACACCGACGGTGTCATGAGAATGGGTTTTCGACATATCATTATCAAGCAAGAACGTTCTCCTCTGGCGGCTATTAGGGACCAATTCTTGATCAGTCGGTCACACCAAGTTTCTATTGCTTATTATGAATGTGCCCGAAGGTCAGACGGCCTCTGGTTTGGCTCTGGCTCATTGATTCATAATCACTGTCTCTCGAGCTGACCCAATCTATCCGGATCGGCGGCCCACCCAAGCCTTCAACTCCTCAATCATCGAAGTCAACTTAGATCTCGATACTGTCAGATTGGCTTGTTTTGTTTGGCCGTTGTGCATACCCGCGCATTCCGACTCGGACGCCGTGGACTTTGTTCTATGGGGAAAGTGTCAGCAAAACACAATGCTAGTCCAGGATTCGCATGCAAGGTTACTTGCCTTGTAGATCTGATGCAACACAGTCTTGCTGCCGTGTCCCTGAATCCTTATCGCCGTGCCTACGGACCTATCTCACTTGAGCTTAATCCGGAGTTCCAGACAACTGAGCTTCCTCAGGCGACTCTGGTCCTCCTCGTCTCCACTGGCCACCACATCGTCCACGGCTCCGACGGTTCCTGTTGTGATCTCCACCTCACAGTCTCCCTCCTGCTCAAACCAACTCGCGACCGCGAGGATCTTCTCAATGGCTCTACCCGTTCCTGCGAGTGTCACGGCAGCACTGTCTGCATCTCCACCGCTGCTACGCTGCAGCGCCTCAACACGCGAATGTAGGGACGCGTACTTGGGTGCTGCGCCAGTGGTCTTGAGTGAGTCGTCAAGCTGTTTACGGGCGCGTTTGACCACAGCCATGAACGGTGTCCTTGAAGACACGTAGATGATGCGAGATTTGGATGATGCCGGCGGCTGGCGCCTGGTTAGGGGGCGTTTCTCGACACGAGCACCTGGGAAGTGTTAGTCGCATATTCGTAATATTTTGTGAAAACCACACCTTCTGAAATATCAGGCAGCTTACTAAAGGAACCATATACCTTGTTTGGAGCCTTGGAAGCCTCGGCCGAAGCCATCTTGTCGTTTTTATGAGATTTGGCTGCCTGATACTGATCAGCAAATGAATCTTCAAAAGAACCTTTCGACAAATTTTGAAGGAATGTGCTCGAACAAGTCCTACCTTGTAAATGCCACGAGTGCTCCTTTTGAATTGATTGTTTCTAGGCACCTCAGGTTTTAAAGATGCCTGAGTATGGATGATGCCTAGCGTGAGTGGGAGTTGAAGTGGTGAGAAGAAGACACAAGTCTCATGAATGGAAAGGAAGGGTAAAAAAAGTCCTTTTAGATACAGACACCCCCACTGCTATAGCGATGCTTTCATGAACCGTGGCGAAGAAACGGCCTTCAAATCGGTACTTTTTGAGAGATTTTGAAATAGATTTTGAGAACAATTATTATAAAAAGTCAATAAACTTCATATCATCATCGCAAAATCTTCCTTCCAAAGTGAGGATGGGAGCGCCACAGATCTGTGGCGCAGCTCACGCACCCCAAATGTAGCGTTTCTAGCGCCCAGCGGCCCGCTACAGACGTCACCTTGAAGCTGTCGGCTGGGCTCAACTGGAGTCAATATTCTTTCCGACTACTCGTCCATCTTTAACTCGTTCCTGTTCAGTATCAGTCTAACATCGCCATAACCTCATCGCCGCCATCTTCTCTCATGGCTGCCTACCTTGCTACTCGCGTAGTATCGACCAGCTAGGCACCTGTTTCATAATGTCCATTGCAATCTGGCCTCCTATCTCGCCGGCCGAGCTCAGACTTAAAGCCTCCGCAACCCAGGTACTGCGACCTCATGCGACGAAGCGAGACGAGACAAAACAAGTCAAGACAACATGCTGATCTATTTTGACAAGGCGCGCGAACTCGATTGGATCGTCGACGAAACACTCGAGGTCTGCCGCGATCTTAAACATGGCCTCGAGGATTGCTATGCGCTTCTCGCGCCTATCGATCCGGGCAGTACACTCGTCATGAGTACACCGCGCAACGAAAAAGTAAAGGGCACGCTCACTCGTGTCGGCACTCGTATTGTCAAAGGCGTAAGGCTGCCTGTTGAGCTCAGGTTCCCCTGCATGCAGCTCCAGCCTCGTTGTGCATGCTGACATCCTTCGATCGCAGACCATACATCTCCAGCTTCGAACGATACCCCCACAGACACTGTCCCTCTCGCAGTCCGAGGCTATTCATGTCCAAGGCCTCGATGCTTTGCACGGCTACCTAAACCAGTCCATAGATCTCCTGGCTATCACCTTGTCCAAACCACAGGACGCTAGCTCACTCGCCTCTACTCTCAGTATTCTTGCTGATTCTCTCTCCGATTCATCAGCTATTCTCAAAGGACCTCCTCTAACAGACGCTGATCCTGCTTGGCAGATGTGCTCATGTTCACCAGATCAGTTTGAGCCATCAATTGGGCCCAACCTCAGCTTTTATCTCGGTCTTCAGGAAAGCTGCATAATTCTGTGGCTGCGTGCTCTAGAACCTGTTCATGCGCATGTTCATTTTGGCACCAAGCTTGGTCTAGCCTTTGGAACTGTACGTCGGCTGGAGCATGACGAGATGGACACCGTTTTCCGGTATAACACACAGGGGTCCAACATTGGCGGCTCGAAGCGGGGCAGTGCCCGCCATACCCCGGAGCCAGGATCGTCCGCTGCAGAAGTGGATAGTAATGATATTCAGGAAGTCTATGTCCGGGAAAAGGTACGCGTCGAAAGCGCAGATCCGAGTCTCATATCCATTCAGTCCAAGCTTAGCTACCTCAGTCACATGCTTGGCCAAGCCCGAAGGAACATTGCTGAGGTCCTTAGTGTTGACTCTTAGAAGTGAGGGGAAAGGCCATGTGAGCAGCTTTGCGTGTAAACTGATTGGATACCCTGGCGTTGAGGTCTCAAATGGAAGTTATTGGGCGGGGTTTTCACTCCCAAGCTTGTTTTAAATTATCACAGGTTTCGAAAGCGTGAAAGTCGTATCACGGCATACTGCGATGTTATGAGTACTGGTTCTTGGGTTTCAGATGAATTTGTAGAAATTTAGATAATACATCTATCCATGCAATCCATAATCCACATTCCATCGCTCCTCTGCTAAACCGTAAAGACTCTTGACATAAAACAAAATGGACTATGCTGTGAAAACGCAAAGAGACAGCTTCTTATCTCGTACAGGAGGTATGTTCAGCCTGTATTTGACCAGGCGGGTGAGATGATCAGGATACTGTGGAGTGAGAGCGGCGGCAGTGTTGCCGCTTGAGCGTTTATCGAACAGGAGACCAAGGCATTGGGACGAGGATCCTTGACTTCATGCTCTGGATAAGAGGCACTGTCTTGTGGACTGTGTCGCTCCAGCCCTCGACCTGCCAGCTCTGTTCACGACGGCCTCGACGCTCCTCAAGGTTGGCAAACTGCCACAGATGGTGGACTGTATTGAGGTCGCCAATCTGAACGAACCAAGCACCAACGCCCTCCATAACCTCACGGCGGGCCTTGAGGCCTCGTCGCCAGTGTGTTTCCCACTCGAGCAGGTTGCCGGGGTGCAGTGTGTAAGAACGCAGCTCAAAGATGCCACCGAGCGATCGTGGGGGAGTGGTTGGCCAGAAGGAAAATTCTTGCATGAGAGAGACGTTCTTGGAGTTGATTAGGCCCTTTAGCTTGTTGTCGAAGTCGGCAAATTCGGGGTGGTGAGTAATTGAGTACCGGGACTGATGGTAACCTTCGTATTTTTGGTATTCCCAGATGTGGACTGTTACAATGGTTAGTAGTCAGAAAACATTGTGCAATTAATCATAACATACCGAAGGTGTCACAATCGCCGACTTCTGTCCTCCAGCTTCCGACCAGGTTCACCTTGTTCTCTGGGGCGTTCGCCATCTTAGGGTACCATTTCCCGACGAGATCGACATACTCGTCAACCTTCTCAGGCTTGACTTCGTGAAGAACGATCGAATGGACGTACTTGCCACGGGCAAGAACTTGACTGAAGCTTGCTTCGAGCTGAGCATCGAGCTCACGGCCCTCCTTGGTACCGTAAATGAGGTTCGTCAAAGGGCCTGCCTTACGGGTAGGCTCCGGCTCCTTCACCTCCTCAGAGCGTCCTACATGGTCATTCTGTGAGCCCTCGACCGACGCGTTGAAAGGGACGTTAGCAGACTGCGGGTGAGAGGGCAACGAACTGGCTTCTCGCTTCTTCTGTGCCTCGACCAGGTGATCGCGGAATTCCTTCTGCTTCTGACTGAACTTATCGACCTCTGCGTGTGTAGGGTTGACATCTCCCAGCGAAGGTGTGCGACCGTTAAGGATAGCAGTCGAGCTCAGAGCTCGCACGCCTGCGAGAGGAGTGACGGCAGCAGCGCGTGCAAATTGGCGACTGAGCATTTTGGGGATGGTTGGAGCTTAGAGCTTTGATTGAGGTGCGGTGAGTAATGGAGATGTAAAGTCTCGAGGTGGATGGGGCGCAATTGGTGTCTAATAAAGCTGACACTGGCGCGGGCGCGGGGAAATTGCGGGCGATCTTGCAGATGACAACAACGTTAAAACGTCAAACGTTGGAGTTGTGCGGTTGTAGATCTTGGAGGGACCGAGACGGACAGGGGAGATGCTGAAAGGAGAAAATACACCGAGGAAACGGAAGCAGAAGGTCAGATGCGGCTGGTGGCAATCAAATGCTGGTAGGGCACAGCAGAAGCGGGAAGGCAGGCGTTTAAGCGTCAAGGTGGTATCAAAGCACCTTTTGGTTGAGATTGCCCTGGCACTGGCAAACCCAAGGAGGAGGGCGAAGCGCGTGGACGATTGGGCAGCTTAGAGTTGGAGGGACGGAACGGCTTTCGGTTACACGCCCAGGAAATGTATAATTCACCCCGCACTTCTTGGGTGAGTTTTGGTTGCTTTCAACGACGAGTATGACGAGTACAGACTCTATGAGCCTTTGACCGAGAAACAAGGACAAAATAGAGTGATTTGATTGAGGGAAACAGGAGTGATGAGATCAGATGGTTTACAGTACGTACACTACCTTCTTAAAGCTGGAGCTTGGGGAACTATCTGATGATGTCACCCCAGCTTAGCGTCACGTGAAAAGCTTAGCGTTGTCAAAGAATGCGGGGTTCGGTTGGGCCTGCTGTTCCTCAGCTCTGGCAAGATACGTACCCATCTTACTCAGCAGCTCTCGAACTCTCTCTGCCTTAGCCTCAAGGCACACAGAAAACCATCCGGGCTCGGCTTCGGCAGAACCCGCTCGGAGCTGTGTCGTTCGGAAAAAGGCTCGTTCTGTAGCAATCTCAATCTTGAAGCGATACAGTCCATCAAACCGAACCTACCTCCCACGATACCCACGAAATCCGTCATCATGTCTTGGCTCGGTGTTCAACCCCTCAAGAAGTTCAACGCTCCCTTCTGTACGTGCAATTGCGACTCATCCATCTGCGCCTTCGTGAACGTGTCCCGCTGACTCCTCCAATAGTGAAGCCTTACTGGCCCTTCTTCGCTGCTGGTACGTGATATTGCGCAACCCATCCGACAAACCGATTCTTTCCCGATCGTATACCGCCGCGTCCAACTTCGATTGATCTTTTGATGAGTTTGGGACAACAATTGATTCTTGATATAGGTGTTGTCATTGCCTACGGCGTCAACTCCGCCCAGTCCGCCATGATGAACTGTACGACCCCCATAAGATGAGCACAGAGCGACGACTAATCAGAGATAACAGCTGCCGAGTGGAAGAACGACCCCCGCAACCCCAACGCCAAGTCTGGCGGTCACTAAGTTTGATGGGAAGGAATGGGATTTCGTCCAGCTAGCACGCATAACCAACCCGCGCGAACGCGAGGCCATGGTTCACGAGATGGAATTGTATCATAGAATCGAAAAAGGGGCTTAATTGACCTATACAACGATCATACGAAAGTTTCCCATGGACATGATTGCGAACGACGACTGCCCTCGAACTCCGGATGTCCGATTGTGTGGGAAGCAAGACCAATTTCATGTCCGGTTATGTGACATGTACAAACCCT